ATTAAGAAATATATTGTGATAAAAGTTTTGGCCATATCGTCCAGCCCTAACTGAAAGTAACATTTCCATGGCTCACAAAGCTGTGTCTCAGTATGTTAGAGATGTTGCAGCACTGCTAATTATAGCTGGTGGAGTAGAGCATGAGCATGTATCTTCTATTATCACTCTAATGAGTTTAAGTGTCTTTATTCATCAGCTCAAAGGTTACACATTTAGTCAAGATAGAGCGGATTTCTTTTTTCATATATATTTTATCTAATGTTACAATAAGTGACTTTAACTAGAATTTTCAAAACTCACTTTCAAACAATTTGTTACTTTTACGAAACATCTTTGTGTTTCCTAAAACAGGCGTGCTTGTCTGAACAATGTATAAATGAAAACGCGTGTGCACGTCCAGTTATTATGAACTCAAGTCGAGCGTGGAGAAGAGAAGTGCACGGAGGGGCGAGAGGAAAGAGAGCATCTGTCTGAGCAGGGGTGCTGAAAGAAAGCAAACTGAAGGAGAAGAAGAAAGGCAAAGGTGTGTGAGGAGGACAGAGATGGACCTGTTATCATGGAACAGAGGCCCGGACCGAGCCGGCCTTCAACACACGGGCGTGCATGCAAGCAGACACACACGAGCCAGGTCACGGGGCATAAAGAGCCACTGTGTCAGGTCACAGAGCGCAGGGAGAAGGATATAAGACTTGAGGGATGTGATATGACTAACATGAGGGGGTTTCGAAGGCTTTGGGCAGCAGGGGACTGGCGTTACAGCCAGGGGTGACTGACACTGTTGATCTGTATCACACATCAGAGCAGATCATAGAAAGAAGAGCAGACCGACCGCGCACTAACAACTTATAATATATTATTTAAAAAGGAGCACGCCTCCACACAGACACCAAATAAACAAGTATTTAAGCCCTTAAACAGCAACATAAAATTGTTTTGCAGTTAGTGTTTACACCCCGGCTTATTTCGAAGCCTTGCGGTTGAGAAAGATGCAATTTCTTTTATGAAAATATAGCCCCAAGCCCTAAAGCGGTTCCCTAAAAATGCTGCTCCTCTTCCTCAAAGAACGGGGTTCAAAGATCAGCAACTGGCAGGATGGGACAGGGTACGGTGCAACTTGCAGGTCTATCAGGTTACACACTTCAAAGGAGCGCGGCCCTCGCACAGCCAGCGATGAGAGCAAAGGGCCCTAAACGCCACATTGTCATTCTGCTATTATCACTACTGCCAGAAAAAGGATAGCTTTTTTTATTATAATCATAATTAGTTGTTTCAACGATCGTTCTGAAGAATATGATCTTTTCCTTTGAAAATGTTAAAGGGTTCATTCTCAGGCAACTTTGTTGTTTCAGTGAATTGGAATGATCCATAGATGGCACTGTTGGCTCAGGCTACAAGTTTGTTGCAGGCACTTCGGAGGAGGAGGAGGAGGAGGAGGAGGGAGGCATGTTCACCTAAAACACAACTTTGGATCTGAAACAAAAAAAGAAACTTTAATCTACAGTCAAGTTTTTTTGTGTGTTTTTTTTTTTTTTTTGCCAAATATAATCTTATAACTACTAATTAATTAATTCAAAGTTCTGGGAAAAGATCACACTTTCTGAATAGAGAACACTTATTCAAGTGAAAACAGATCTTTTTACAGCAAATTATCAGTTTTCTTAACACTCCTCCATCCATTTCTTCTATACCTAACACCTATTAAATATCAAAACAAATCGTACTAGACTGAAAGTGACAAGACTTGGAACTTTAAGCAAATCAATTTTTATGTTTTTTTTAAGGCAGTCAACAAAATTAGTAAAACTGACTAACATATGCAGAGCACAAGGTCTAAATTAGTCAACATACTGATTAGTGGGAAAGCAAAAAAAATCTGCTTTGTAGAGCAGCGACTGAAACTGAAATCTGAGACATCAAGTCATATTCTTATGGTCGCCATCACTCAGTAACCAAAAGAGGAAGCCTGTTGTTTATGGTGCAGGATTGTTGATGACAGTGAGAAGGGTAAATGGGGACATGACTCCAGGTCTGCAGGCCTGTAAGGGTCCCGTGGGAGTCCAACTGCCCTGATCTATGGCCTGTCTGAATGCCGAGGTCAGGCCAGAGGAGCCCTGGAAATGGAAAATTAGCAGGCTTTTGCAATTAGAGAAATGCCCACAGGCAGACATGGTGTTGCATCACATGCAACAGAAATATCTGCTATTTAAATTTTCAGTCACAAGACGTTAAAATACTAGAAACTGGGCTGTATTCAACAAAACTTCACCAGCTCAAGAGATTCTCCGTAGTAGTAGTAAAATGTGTCAGGCTGAAGATTTTTATAGGAAATGGCAAAAAAGACAGGAAGAAGGTGTGAAATGCCTTCAGGTGGCCTGACTTGGCCTTGCAGTGAAGGCTGTACGTGTGGACAAGTCCATGCCCTGGAGCAGCCTTACCTTACGTCTCCAAATCAGCCTTTAAAAAGGACCGTTGGAAAACCTTATCCCTCTTATTTCCACCACATCAAGCCAACTCCCACCTCAACAACAAACTCCCATCCAAAATCCCAGCGGAGGCGTTTAAATTTTGATGTATCTAGCTAAAATATGAGGTTGTGTAGGGGTGCAGAGGGGATAAAACGTAACACAGGATCAATCCCCACAAACAGCTCGTGTTGACAGCAGGAAAAGCTCTTGGAGCTGTTGAAGTTTCTGTCCAGGTAGCTTCCTCGTGGCTGCAGGCGGTCAGACAGACAGGTAGTGCCAGCGGTGAGTTAAACACACACACGGTTATCTCAGAGCTGTCAGTCAGCCACCCTGCACCACACCGGACCACCGAGGTCTCATGCATAATTTGCCATCAAATGAATATTTTCTCAGCGTCCCGGCAAACGTGGTGTTTGATGAAATATTAATTCAGTGATTAATTTTTGTATCTGATCTTCTGTCAAGTGAGATAAAAAATACTGAACTTTTTCCTGTGAAGCCATTGTTGAAGGGCACCTCTCTCCAACTCTGCTCATTAAACTTTAATCAAGTGATACAGCAAGCACACTAATGTTCCGAGGTGAGGCCAAAAGAAAACTTACTACATTTAGAAAGGAAGTTGAGGCATACTAAATGAGGCTAAAAGCACTAACATGATTTTTTACTTTTACAAACAAATCGACTGAGTTTGACAACAGGAACTGTGCAGCAGACCAGCTGATGCTACAGAAGCTCGTTCAGAGAGTATGATGGGCTACCACTTGACTATAAATCCAAAATATCCAACCTGTTTGACTTTGTTTGTTTTAATGTCCTTTTCAAACTTTTGGAGTTTTTAGTAGTCAAACACATTGCAATCATAAATAAAATGTGCTTTTTGTGCACACTGGTCTTATGAATGAAGTTGTTGTGTATCAATGCTAAGCATCTTTTCTTGTTTCGGGCGGCTGTGGCTGAGTGGTTAGAGCAGTTATCCTCCAATGCAATAGTTGGGGGTTCGACTCCACCAGCAGTCACATGCTGAAGTGTCCCTGGGCAAGACACTGAACCCCTCGCTGCCTCTGATGTGTGTCCCATCAGTGTATGAATGTGATCTAAAGCACTGATAAGTCTCTTTAGAATGATTTGTTCAATTATCTTTGTAGAGATCTAAAGAGTGCTGTATGAATGGATAAATGAGGCACAGAGTGTAAAGTGCTTTAAGTATCTTGATAAGATAGAAAGGTGCTATATAAGTACAGTCCATTTTGTTTCTGGGTACCAGTTTATGCTGGTCAGGGATTACAGTAAATTACTTGTACTGTAACCTTAATCCTATAAAATGTTATTTTATTTATCGTATTTTTCGGCCTATAAGTTGCAGATTTTTGCATAATTTACATGCCTTGCAACTTATAGGCCTAGGCAACATATTTATGGATTTTTTCCCATATTTATAAACCAACTTTTGGCTGAGATATGACCGTTTCCATTCATTCTGACTGTAAAAAAAGAGAGCAGTACCACTTTCAGCCACTAGATGGTAGCAGAGTAGTAATAGCTGTATGGCATGTCGTTGTATCATGTAATACGTAAACGTGGCTATAATAACAAATTCAATACAAAAACAACTGGACTTTATTATACTATACTGTATACGTTATTGTTTTTTTCTTGAACTTTTTGAATTTACCATGTCCTGGATGACTGAGAATCTTCAACAGCCATTAGTGACACAATCGGCTTGCCATATACCCAACTTTATTCTGCTCACTGCTTGGAACGGTCAAACCAGCTGCATCGCCCTGGCAAAATGCAGCTAATTTGACCATTAAAGTACATTTATTAAGCAAGCGTTACACTGAGACACTCCTTTACTATAATTTAGAGCAAACAAATAATTGCGTTTAAGTGTTAATCTTGTTAAATTCTTGTTAGAAGTCCTCAAGTGCACACTCTCGCAGCCGCCATTTAGCAGCACATCGATTTTTGGCATAACACCGGCCCACATTTCCAGGTTGTCAGCGGTGACGCATAATAAATGCGACGTATACGGCGAAGCGACATATTTATGGATTTTTCCACTTTATTAGACAAATATGGACTGATGCAACTTATAGGGCGGAGTGACGTGTACGGCAGAAAATACGGTAATACAGACATTCTGGAATAGAGAAAAAAAATCACTTTTGACTTGTCAGTAACCAATCACAGTTGTCCAACATTTTTCAGTCAGGTCATCTGGACAGTTTCTTTTTTTTTTGTGCTGAAATGTTTTGCCTTCGATCCGGAAGGCTTCATCAGTATAAAAAAAAAGTAAAAAAAAAAAAAAAGAAACTGTCCAGATGACCTGACTGAAAAATGTTGGATTTTATACCTGGATTATTGAGCATGGACTTTGTTGTCAATCACAGTTGTCTTTACAAGGATGCACAAACCTACAAAATGTTAGCGGCTGAGATTTTGCTTCAGCACTGGACGTTAATAAAACAGGTGAAATATCACTGGCAGGACTTTTTTTTTTTTCCCTAAATTATTTTTAACAGAAAAGCACACCTTGACAAGATGCAGCAGCTGGTACAGGTCCTCCACCTCGTCCCCCTCTGTTATACTGTAGTTTCTGCTGGTGTCCAGGCTGCAGCCCTGGATGGTGCGTCTATAAAGAGGCAAGTCCATGGCTTCAGCATACAGCTCTATAGCTTGGTGGCCCACGGTCTGGTACATGTAGCTGTCCAACTCGTCTGAAGCACAAGACAAAATATGTCAGAGTCCAAACCTGATGACAGTATGTCAGTCATGTGTTTGCAAAAAGAGATGAAGACTCACTGAAATACAAGAAAAGGGTGAAGCTAACTACAGACACCGCCACAGGCTTCACTTAGTTTAAGGTGCCATGCTTCAAATGTTATAATTATTTGCAAATACTTTTATATAACTAATTTGTTGTATTCTTAAAATATGAAATATAAAACTCCTATACCAAAACAAAAAAAAAGATTTCAAAAACTATTAATAAAAATTGTTGTCACTGTGAAAACCTTAGAAACAATAGAAGCACAGCAATATCAGACAAAGTATATTTATGTTTTAATTATTGCTTCAGTTTACTTCCAGAACTGTGACATCATTGATGTAATCTTCACACTGACAAGTACATGTCAACATATAAAGAAAAAATACTCGTCAAAATCACTTGAAAAAAAAAAGTTTGATTTGGAAATTTCAGTAGAGCTCATCTGTCACCAGATAAGAAATATAATAAACAACTTCCTGCTGTGAATGTAAATAACTAATGAGGCAGAATCAGAGATACTCAATTTATCTGTAGTTTCTCTTGTTATGAAGAAGGTGGGAGTTCCTTAAGAGCATAAGGAATAAATGGAGTTAATCAGAAAACAGGCACAAGAATCCCAGCTCAACAAGCATGTCTTCACCTTTTATCTGCACATTTACTTTTTGTTTGTTTTACACAGTCATAAAAAAGGCAAATGTTATTGAAAAAGTTAAAACTACAGCTAGTTATACATTAAATTGGATTATTTTTAGTAAGAAATACGTGTAATATAAATAAAGGCACTGTCAGATATGCAGAAGAAACATCTCCAAACATTATAATTGACCATTTGCTAATTAAAACAAATGAGCCAATACAATTCTGTAACTTGGATAAAAAGTATAATGACAGAGAGCTGATCCACATACTGCAGCTAACTTCAGTGGCTCATGGTTCAGTGCATTCTCTCACCTTTGTGAGCAGGACGCAGGTTGGCCAGAGCCACAATCCGGTGACCTGCAGCAACACACTGCATCATGTTGTAGCAGCTGTCTTTGCCTCCACTGGATCACACACAAGCACAAAGGTAAAGCTTTTTATGCAGTTAAAAAATGTGTAATAGCTTTGAAAATCAAAACACAGTTCATAAAGTGTTTGTTTTGGAGCTTTGCTAGCGCCAAATATCAGCGACAGAAGTCAAAAAGCTGCGGTTACCTTATCAACGCGACCACTTTCATCTTTTTATATTCTGTTTCCAAGTCTCTCTGCACAAAAATAAATGGTAAGACGTGTGATAACTTCGCTTAGCAACCCATGGATGTACACAATAGCATGTGAGCAAAAGTCTTCCGGGTGCAGGAAGGACCCTGTTTGCATTTTAAGATGCCCCTTAATATGCCTGAGAGAAACTCCGCACCGCTTCGGTGTCGTTGAACTCGGTCGCACGTTTTGCTCAAAACTGAAACAGCAAAGAGAAATACATAAAAGTAATAATGAAAAAAAAAAAAAAATACTTAAAAATAAATTAGTGTACATTTGTATCAGTCACATACAGGACCCAGCTTCATAGAAATTTTAATTTAACTAGTAAAATAACATTTTACATATTGTACTTGAAATAAATTGAATAAATATACAACCCTATACTGAAAAAAAAACTGTCATTCTGACTTGCCCTATTTGTAATCTATTTAAATATGTAAAAAAGTATTTGTTTTGTTTGATTTTACATGTGATATGTCCAGTAAAAAGTTTTATACACTCAGCCTGTCTTAGGTATATGTTGGTTATTGTTTTACACCATTACCAAGCTCCACTGTACTTTTTTCATTCTAGGACTCAAAAGAGGACAAAAAGTCCACGCACTGTTATTCACACACAGGTTGTGCGTTTCCTCTGAGGGAGCCCTGTTCTGCTCAGAGGAAAGCCTTTGATGCTCCTTTTGCTCTGTGTTGTTGTGCCAGAGCAGAATAATTGCTCTGCTTTTGTGTGCTTCCCTCACCTTCTACCCCTAAGCAGGCCAAAGGCAACTGATTCTGTCTGAGAGTACAAAATTGAGAAAGACGTCGTTTCATCCCATCACTTTTAACTAGATTCTCTTTTTTGTTTTTGTTTTGTTACAGTTTTCCCCTTCCATTCAGAATAATTGTAAAAACATACAACCTGCAGATCAGCATCATTTGAATTGTTAAACAAGGGGCATAACTTGAATAAAGTGGTGCTTTTATTGATAAGATAAGGACTTGATGTGATTAATGTGATTTAAAATGACAGATTTTTATTTTATTTCTAAGTTTAACACAAAATAGGTGCATAATTGATACAATTATTTAACTTACTTTTATATATATATATTTTTTATTTTGATTTAAAATGTTATTTTTCTAAATTTGCATCTTACAGTAACTTTTTCCAGTTTTAATTACAATTAAAATTTCTAAGTTTTCCTTTTCAGTTTCTCATAACTGGAGCAGCCCATCCTAAGAGCACGCAACTGCAAAAGAAATTGCAATATTAGTATTTCATCATCGCCAAAAACAAGAGATTAAGTTTTTGAATATTTCTTTGACATGTTCGTTCGAACAGTTTGATCCTGAAAGAACACATTCCTCCTGAATCGGATTGTCCTTCAGATTTGTAAATTTAGTTATATATCACCAATGTCACCCATTTTTTTGACTTATCCTATATATAACAGCCTCTTTCCCACAGGCAGTTTCCATTAAAGCCCAAGCCTAATGCCTATGACTAATGCAAATTGTGTCACTTATCGCTTTTAATTTATATAGTTTATTACCCAGACAAATAAAGTGGTGTGTTGTTCACGTTTTATTTGTGGCAGCATTTTGCTGACATATAGGAACGTTTTATGTCCATACTGTTTGTGCGATGGGGATAAAAAGTGTTGATGGATAGCCCAACTGAGACACAGCCAGTGGATGTGAATATGAGGCGCATAAATATGAAAGCAAGGCAGCAGGAATCAAATGACACCCTTGGCCTTTCCTTAAAGGAGCATGTGCATATGACAGGTGATTTACACGGACACACAAGCTAATTTTTGCTGCACAAGGACACAAAAACTTTGGGTGTAATGAGAAACTAAGGCCTCAAATCACAGGACAATAAATTGAGTGTCAGAACAGGCTAGCCAAGGTTGCAAGCTGAGTGGCCAGAATACAAACTCACATTCGCAGTTCTTTCAACAAAATGACAAAGCAAATCTTCTTGCTTATATTGTGCATCATACTGCTTCCTAAATACAAAATACTTAGATTTTTGAAAGAAAAAAAAAATCTTATAATTTTTTTTGTGATATTTTTTAATATATAAAATCATAAAATATGTCTAAAGAGCATCAGATAAGGCCCCGCAATTGTATCCAGATTTGTCAGGTTTCTTGTGTAAGACTGAGTCCAGTCATGGTTGATAGAGTTTAGTTGCAGAAGGACGTATTGATCAGGTATGTTGATTAGATTTTTTACATTTTTTATTTATTGCTTTTATATGTGGTTTAGTTTTATCCTTCAGTCTGAATACAATGTAGTTTGGGCAGTTCTTGGAAAACATTTTAATTGTACAAGGCCCTATAGTTTCTTTAGGAACGCCAGATTTGAGCCTCTTTGACAACTTGAGTCGTACTCGACAAGGTTAGAAGATGGGCCTGTGATCGGAAAGTTGCAGGTTCAACTCCCGGTACCGTCAACATCAAAATATGGGTGGAAAAGATGAAACATCCACACCTGCCTCCACCTTCATTCACCCCACTCTGAGCCCCTAAGCAAGGCACTCAACCCCCACTATCTGCTCCCTAAACAGGTCTCTCTTGAAAATGAGTTCTCGTGACTCAATGAGACTACCTGGATAAATAAAGGGTCAATGAAACATTAATATCCTGATTCATGCTCAATAATCCAGGTAGAAAAATCCAATGGTTTCTTTTTGTTGAAACGTTTCGTCTTTCATCCAAAAGACTTCATCAGTCCGAGCAGCCACAACAAACTCAGTCTTATATATATCACCTTCTCATAGTGGGTCAAGCAGTTTGATGGTGCTCAGATGCAGGTGCTCAAACATCCAGAGGACCTGACTCAACTTTGATGGATTTTTCTACCTGGTATCAGGATATTTTGAACCACTTTGGCCATGACTGCCTTAAACAAGTCAACGGGGAGATGGTGGACTCCAAAAACCACATGAGCACCATCAAACTGGTTGAGCCCTTATGAGAAGGTGCTATTTATAAGACTGAGTTTGTTGCAGCTCCTCGGACTGATGAAGTCTTTTGGATGAAAGATGAAACATTTCAACAAAAAGAAGCCATCCAGAGGACCTGACTGAACTTAGCTGGCTTATTCAACAATGTTTTAGTAATTGTCCCAGTGAGAACTGTACCAGTCAAGTCAATTCACAACATTTCTTCTGATTCATGGCAGAAGCTAAATCAGATTGGGCCTGCTTTTTTTTTTCTTCCAGATTTATGTTTTCAGTAAGCGGCAAATGTAAAGCAGGCGACATAAAAGACGTAGAAACTAATAAGCCTTTGAACGGTTTTGTCTGTTTTCCAGTCACAACATGGTTTTAGACTTTTCATTGTGGATTATCAACTATCAAACGGAACTGATTTCATTGTGTATAATGTAAAGGGAAAAAATAGAAAACTTAATTATAGATGACGCTGAATGAGC